TTGCCTTTTCCCTACCACTAAAACATGTACAATTAGGCGTGGCGTGGGTCTCCTGTGTGGGGACCTCGCTTCTTTCTCTGTGTGGAGTGAAAAGAGCAATATTTTGTGACTGTCTGAAAAAATACGTACATAGTTATTACTAATATGACTTATTTTGACAGGTTTTACAGTGAACACACTCTCCAACAGCATATCTATTCCTATAGGATCTGATGTTCTTGATCCAGGCTTTAACAAAGTCTGAAATCTTTTAGTACATGATGAGCATAATTGTTAGCATAAAAGTTGACTATTACTATTATTTGCTATGGCTATAATTATGTGCTGATAAATCTGGATATGAAAAATACCTGACATGCCTGACTTCTCTTTAGCTACATAATGGAGATGAATACTTGAACTTTTATGTATTTATTTAGCTAATATACAGTAAATACACAATACAATCAGACACACTCATACATTTATACTCTCAAACTAACAAACTCCCACCTCATACACCTAGGTTTGTATATACTTCTTTCAGCAATCATAATATCAGGTAAATCTGTTTTTTCTTCTTCTTCTTTTTTTTCCCACTAACCAAAAATTGCATGTTCCTGTGTAGTCCTGGTGCGGGGCCTGTCCCCTCTGAGGGCCCTCCTCTCGCGCTGCTGGTCTTTTAAACAGTGTTGTGGACGAGTGTTCTGAGTGTGTTTGTGTGGGACAGAAGAGGTGGTCCGACAGCAGCATGAGCAGTGTCCTGATGTGGGACATGAGTTTCTCTGGGGGCTTCGTGTCCGGTCCTGAGGGGTACTCCCCGGAGCCCCTGCACTACTACGGTAAGTGTCCACACGCAGCTGCAACTGTCTGCTTCATACTGTGGTTTTGTCATTAACGTAGTAGTAGTGGTAGTAGTAGTAGTAGTAGTAGTAGAAGCACATATAATTCAAGAAAGAAAGAAAGCTCAAAAGGAGAAGGCAGAAGCAAAAATCTAAGTTCTTTCCCCATTTTCAGTCATTTATTCAAGCGGCTGAAAAAAGATATACATTTTCACATGACAATCCTGATTTTTACCATCATCATTTTTATCTTGATGCAAAAAAACAAAAAACAAAAACAGCAATACTGAAATTTATGTTCCATATTTCATCTCAGTAATAAATGTAATCATTGTTTTTATCACGTGTGGTGCATTGAGAGCTGGAGTCAGAGCCCTCTGTGTCTGGAAACTTTTCTAAAGACAAGGCTTTTCATTTGCAAATAACTTACTCTAAGATATAGCTTTTGGTTTTGAACAATTCCTTTCAGAGTAGCAGGAGATGATGCCTATATTCTCTTTTCATTTCAAGCTAAATACAGCTTTGCGATATAGAAAGGATCTCTCAATTTGAATCTTAAGCTTGGTAAAGGACGTCCTATCACACATGCAGAAGTGGAACAAGTTTTAGGTATAGAAGTAAAACTATAGATACAAATATAGCAACTAAAGTCTGGTTAAAGTAAAAGTATTGAAATCCTTCTCTACCTAAACATTAGTACTCTCTACTTTGAATGCATTTTTGTTAAATTATTAATAGTAATTTGTTTGAGAATTTTAAAAGCCATCGCAGCAGTAGAAGTAGCTAACTTTATTACATTTTGATGTCTCAAGAGAGAAGACAAAAATCCAGTACATTCGTTTTTTTCTTTTTTTCACATCTTTTCATACTGAGAGCTGATTGGCTGAGTGACGGCTGGTTCTCTCTTTTCCATTTAAAAAAGCTGATCCAAAGATGTGACAGAGGCCAACGAGCTTTAGGAACGACGTACATGGATTTCATTCGCCTAACGCTGAACGGCTATCTGAACGTAGAAGCAATGCTAACCACAATATATGAATTCACTTAGAAGCATGGCTAACTTACTGGCTAACTTGGCTTCAAAGTAACGAAGCAAGTGTTGTCAGAAAAATAATTAGTTAAGTACTGTACTGGGACTATAAGATATGATACTTATGTTTAGTTACTTGCCACCTAATATTTCTAACTGGAAAGGTTTGAAGCAGACAATTTCTTTAGAGAATGTGGGATAGAACAGACAAGACTTCGGCTCCTCCAAAATCGACAACAGTTGGTAAACCTAGAAAATTAGCAAATACTTGTTATAATAATATCTTTTCTAGTGATTCTACGTGTACTGTCCATGTGGAATCTCTAAGGTCTGAAATCACCAGAATGCGATGGAGGTCCTTGTGCCGAGACTGTGTGTCTATGTGTGACATTAAATTCATAATTCTTATATTTAAACTGTATTGAGCTTCTTCTATGTTTGTGTTTTGAACTGTTCTATAAGCCCGGATCATGTTGGGTCCCGAACATTATGTTTACGATATGGAAAAAAATATTTTCTTATGAAACCTGTTGGGAAGGCAGACCTCAGAAGGATTTTCACTTTTGGGAATACCATTTCTTCTTCCATTATACAGTGGTGCTGCTTTCCTGTGTTTAACGGAACCCGCGGTGTTCCATGGCGACAAGAAATCTCTGTCCTGTCTGAGTGCTGGAGTATTAAAGCCTCCACATGCACAAGCTCACGTCCCCTGGTCCCAGGAGCCTCCACCGCGGGGCAGGCTCCGGGGCGTGTGTGTGTGTGTGTGTGTGTGTGTGTCTGGTGTGTATATTTGAGAGTGTGTGTGCGTGTGTGTGTGTTTGTGTGTGTGTATATTTGAGAGTGTGTGTGTGTGTATGCAGGTGTGTACGCGTATGCTCCTGTGTGTGTGTTTTCCTATAAAGTGTTAGAGAATTAAGAGTAAGTCACAATAAACCAGGCCTTACTGGACTAGATTTTATCTAAAAGCACAATAAAAATCACGTTGATTCAAAAACATCTATTATTGTTCCTGGTTTTGACATAGTTTGTGTTCTGACGTTAGGACCAAAATAGTGTAATTATGATTCAATTGTTGAGTTTGGCTTGTTTCACAACGCAGTGAAAGAAATGAGCATATGGAGCAGTAAATAATAACTATATAATAATAATCTGAAGTATCAAACGATTGCTGAATGATCACAAGACCGTTGTTTCTTTTAATGTGTGTTTTTGAAAGTTTAAACCCGCAAAAAATGAGCAACACATTATTCCTGCTGTGGATAGTAGAGGCTAACCTGGAAGCTCCGCCCACTTTGCTGCTCCATTCCACCAACCAAAAGTCCAGTCTCACAGGTATTGGTTTGGGGGGCTCCGGCAAAAACAAACAAAAATATTTATCATTTATCATATGTGTTTTTTTTCTATAATATATTCATAAAAGATTGAGAATTGTTTGCAGCCATGTAAAGACCCTAAGCAGTAGATTTATGTTTTAAGTATATCTTTTACAAGAATTTACATGGGTTTGTTTACCTCTATTGTGGCTTCAAACTCAATATTTGGATTTTTCAAAACTCCAATGGGAATTATCTACGTCAGTTTGACTTCCGGAACCAGAGCGGACTGCCACTTGTCATACACACGTCACACTCACTGAGGCGCTACAGATACAGCTGTAGGTCAAGACACCATGTTGAAGCCTGATTTGTACATACAAGTTAGGTACCCCAGCTTTAATAGTCTAGTCAGGTAACAATGGTGTTTGTTGAATATACCTCATATACTGAAGAGTATCACAAACATTTATCAACCAGATCAACATCTTTTTCGTCACACATCAAGTTTAAAAACCAAATGCTAACCGTCAGATTGTTGTCAGCTGCTTCCTGTCCCCTCTGAAAACACGATCTTCCAAATAGAACACTTCCCCATGGAGCGATGGAGTCGAGTTGTGTCATAAAAGTCACATCATTTCACATTCCCCAGGCTGCATTTGTTTTGTTCACATTCTAAGTATTTGAACGAGATAAAGGAGGATTTCAGGATGATTTGACCGCTCTTGCACTTCTGTTTCTCCTACGCCATAAAAGTGCATTATTGTTGAAATTGTATCATAATGTAAGTAAAATATAATATAATGTAAGTAAAAATAATCTATGGTCTCATTAGTTTTACCCTTCTGAACGCCTTCTGTACAGCGCCCTGGCGTCCCATAAACAATATATTTCTTTTACCCATTTCTGTTAATTGATTTTAGTAGTTGTTTATCTCTCATAGATTTTTAGGGCTCCATATTTTGTTTGTTCCAGATAAAATTTCTGAAAAACTCATTGGTGGTTTATCCTACAATGTTATTGGATAATGTTGTGCCACACTCTCTCTGGGCATGGACCTTTTACCGCTCTTCCTACTTGCAAATGATTTCGACTAAATCCATCAGTCCCATGATGCACCTCACTGGAGTCAAGTCTGATGGAGATGCACACTGTTCTATTCTAACATGGTTTATGATTAACCTTGGTCTGTTGTCTGTGCTGCAGACATGCTGGCTGACCCTGTGTACCACCCCATGCATGACCCTGACCTCCAGCTGCTCCCGTACAGCCCCCAGCAGCAGCAGCAGCAGCAGCAGCAGCAGCAGCAGCAGCAGCAGTACGGCTCTAGCTTCTGTGTCTTCTCCCCTCTCTCGTCCTGCTCTCCCTCCCCCTCCTCTCCCTGCTCTTTGCCCTGCCCTCCTTTGCACCACTACAGCCCCCCTTACCCAGAGACCTTTGCCCCCAGCCCAGGGCCTCAGTGCAGCGGGGCCACTGAGGAGCTGGGGCCCCCGGGGCTGCTCCATGTAGGGCGGAGGCTGAGTTCAGGAGGCAGGAGGAGGGACCAGGACGAGCTGTGTGTGGTGTGTGGAGACAAGGCGTCGGGGTATCACTACAACGCTCTGACCTGTGAGGGCTGCAAAGGTACGGCTCTGACACAAGGAAAAACTACGCTTTTATAATTATTATCAAAAATATCAATCTACTACATCTATTCGTGTCTATTTCAAACTTGTTTGTATTTGAAGGACACCAATTTAATTAAATGAAGTTTGTTTATTTAAGGGACAGTAGTTACATTAAAATGACGGCTACAAAGAGACACAGCGCCACCTTCCAGCGCAATGTGGCAATTCCAAGTAATGATAAGAAAGAATAACATCCAATGCCTCTCATGCACACAATATAACACAAAGCACACACACACACACACACTCAACAAAGACAAACTAAGGGGAGAAACGCCGAGATCAACATGCACACAAATAGCTCTTTTACCTCTTTAGAATTTCAGATTTATTACACGCACACACAAGCACACACAAACACACACGCACCAAAAAACACAAGCAAACATAGACACACACACATAAAACACTTAAAACAGCTTCTTACAGCTTTTGAACATGACAAAAGCAACACGGGTTCAAACAACCCTCCCCATCTTTCCCACTCTTGTCCTGGTCAAAAAGCAGAGGCCTGTAGTATGAAAATGCCTGTAGCAGAAGTATGATACGTCTCCTTTAAAACATGTCCATGTTTTTAAAATAGTGTGGTTGGGCTGGACAGATACAGGCTGTGTGCAGAGATGATGCAAGATTATTTCAGAATATTTCAATTTTTTACGTAGTAGTAGTAGTTGTAGTAGTGTATATGTTTAAGTTTATTAAGGAAAACCCGTTGAGATGAATCATCTCATTTTCGAGGGGGTCCTAAACATAAACATAAACATATAAACAAACACGCATAGACAAAAACAATTTACAGCAAATGAAAGATGAGAAAAGTTAAATACACACACACACACACACACACACACACACAAATAAAAAAAAGATGCTCCTTCGCAGCCCACTCCTCCCCTCTGCTATAGTTAAACATTTAGAAAAGACAAGGTAAAACTATGAACAATAATGACACATACAGAATACAGAATACAGACATAAAAAAGGAGTTTGAAGGAACCTGAATAATTCAAACTTAAATAAACCAGAAGACAGAATGGATCGTATGGATGTGGGGAGTTTATTCCAGTCTGATGGAGCCTTGTATTGAAATGATCTGCGTCCAACTGCTTTAAAAACTCTTGGAACAGAAAAGGTGAGACAATCAGAGCTTCGGAGTGAAAAAGGTGTAGAGACCATAGACTGTATATATTAACAGACAGAGTCACGCCTATCTCCGTCGTTCTAACTAATGGGCCAAAAAATGTGCTCTACTGGAGCAATCCAAAATGGCCGCGAGTGGTCTCGCCCACAAGAAAATTGTGAAAAAATGCATCTGCGCATGCGTCAGCCGGCGCAACTCCATTCATTTGAACGAGAGACTTCAATAATTCACAGCAAGTAAACTAGAGTGGACCAAAAAAAAATCCACCCCCCTCAGCATTGACACACATGTGGAACGGAGCTTTGGGCCAAGAGCCAACTTTTGGTCCATCCTGTAAAGACGTTTTTGAGAGGTCTGCCAATGCTATATGTTAGAATTGGCTAATTCTACTTCTGGGTCCACCCCCATCGGCCCGGGGTGGTATTGCAGCATGTCAGCACACGTCATTTTGGCCACTTTTGAGCTGGGACCCGCCCCCACTGGTAGAGACAGGGACAAAAAACTGTTTTAAACACTGCGGACAACTAAAGTGAATACATTTAAATAATAATTGCATCCAGTGAAGGTGACGTCTGTTGTGAGGCTGAAGCCAGTGAAGGGTCTCGTTCAGAGTGCAGTGATGTCTGCGATACGGACATTTGAGAATGAATCTACAGAGACAGTTAAAAAGTGTATTGGTTTGAGATGGGAGGGAAATGTGTTTTGATAAATGACGTCAGCGTAATCGATGATGGGGAGAACCAGTTGTGTAATTATGTGTTTTCTGACATTGAGGGAAAAGCAGTGGGATGATCGGAATAATGGGCCCATTGTGGCGTAAGTTCTTCTGACGATGGAGATGTGGTGTTTGAAGTTAAGTTCAGGGTCCAACCAGAGGCCCAGATATTTGATTGTGTTTGCATTGTGCATTTTGGAACCGTTGTTAAAGTAAATATGGAGATCAGGGGAGTGGAGTAATTTGTGATGAGAGCCAAACAGTATACAGCAAGATTTTTTCATGTTTAAAATTAATTTATTGTTTGAGAGCCAGTTTTGTATGGAGTTAAAATCGAGTTGCAGCAGATTTTGGAGAGATGTGATGATGAGTTTGAGTTGTAAATAACTGTGTCATCGGCGTAGATGTAGTAGTGGTAGTAGTAGTAGTGGTAGTAGTAGTTGTGGTTGTAGTTGTAGTAGTAGTTGTGGTAGTGGTAGTAGTAGTAGTTGTAGTTGTAGTAGTAGTGGTAGTGGTAGTGGTAGAAGTAGAAGTAGTGGTTGTAGTTGTAGTTGTAGTTGTGGTAGTGGTAGTAGTAGTAGTTGTAGTTGTAGTTGTGGTTGTAGTTGTAGTAGTAGTTGTGGTAGTGGTAGTAGTAGTAGTTGTAGTAGTAGTAGTGGTAGTGGTAGTGGTAGTGGTAGAAGTAGAAGTAGTGGTTGTAGTTGTGGTAGTGGTAGTGGTAGAAGTAGAAGTAGTAGTAGTAGTAGTGGTAGTGGTAGTGGTAGAAGTAGTAGTAGTAGTAGTAGTTGTAGTAGTGGTAGTGGTAGTGGTAGCGGTAGAAGTAGTAGTAGTAGTAGTAGTAGTAGTAGTAGTAGTAGTAGTAGTAGTAGTAGTAGTAGTAGTAGTAGTAGTAGTAGTAGTAGTAGTAGTAGTAGTAGTTGTAGTTGTAGTAGTGGTAGAAGTAGTAGTAGTAGTAGTGGTTGTGGTTGTGGTAGTAGTAGTTGTAGTTGTGGTTGTGGTAGTAGTATTAGTAGTAGTTGTTGTTGTTGTGGTTGTGGTAGTGGTAGTTGTAGTTGTGGTTGTGGTAGTGGTAGTGGTAGTAGTAGTAGTAGTTGTAGTGGTAGTGGTAGAAGTAGAAGTAGAAGTAGTAGTAGTAGTAGTAGTTGTGGTTGTGGTTGTGGTAGTAGTAGTAGTAGTAGTAGTTGTGGTTGTGGTTGTGGTAGTAGTAGTAGTAGTAGTAGTAGTTGTAGTTGTGGTAGTGGTAGTAGTAGTAGTAGTAGTAGTAGTGGTAGTGGTAGAAGTAGTTGTAGTTGTAGTTGTAGTTGTAGTTGTAGTTGTGGTAGTGGTAGTGGTAGTGGTAGTAGTAGAAGTAGTAGTAGTAGTTGTAGTTGTGGTAGTGGTTGTGGTAGTAGTAGTAGTTTATTTCTTGGGTGATTATGTACATTTAAACTTAGGTCACATGTTTCCAAATTTTCAAATACAGTTTACAACAAATGAAAAAAAGAACTAAAACGTGTATACGAAGAATTGTTGTGTAAAAAAATAAGGTACAATTCAGTGTAATTATTCTTGCACAGGTTTCTTCCGCCGCAGCGTGACCAAGAAGGCGGTGTACCAGTGCAAAAGCGGGGGCAGCTGTGAGATGGACATGTACATGAGGAGGAAGTGCCAGGACTGCCGGCTCAGGAAGTGCCGGCAGGTGGGCATGCTGGCTGAATGTAAGCTTCACTTCAAAGATCCAGAGACACACACCTCCAGCTGAACTCCCCCATCGTCTGCTCTGCCAGGTCTGCTGACGGAGGTGCAGTGCCAGTCCAAACGCCTGAGGAAAGGAGGCCGAGGAGGCAGGAGTCAGGACCAGGACAGCCCTGATGGGAGCCAAAGGGTCAGCTCAACCAGCAAGCAGCGGCAACATGTACGGAGCAGCCAGAAAACTGCTCTTCTTCTTTTCTTTTTCATTTTTTTATTATTCAGGCAATGGCGCAGATAAAAAAACACAACAGACAAAACAGTTAAGATAAGATTAGCTTTATTTATTATAGACTCGGATCGTACGCACGCTCTGATTGGCTGATTTGCGGTCTGATATTTTCCCATCTCGGACCGTTACCATGACAATTGGTAAATAAGAAATAAGGAGTTCGAAGAGCCAGGGGAAGTAATAACAGCACATAACGACGAAAACACAACTCCTAACAGTCAAGTCCGTTACAGACCAGAAAGGTAAAAACATAATTAGGAAAACCAAGTCGGACATGAACATACTTCACAAATATGTAAAAAGCATTGGTAAAGACACAGAAGAGACTGAGAATCTACAGTGGGAGACCTCAATCATCTGATAAGCAAGTTTTTCATGTCACGATTTGACAGTTTGGTTGAATGTGTTTTTGCTAGTGTTGAAACCGATCGATATTTGCATAAATTAAAAATAGTCATGTAATAAAACATTTATTAACCTCGCTTGCTTCAAGGTCTGATATTTCTCTGTACAGACCTCGCGCTCGTTTAATAAGCTGTTATTCTCTCACACTGGAGAAATGTACATGTCGCTCAGATTTGTGCAAAAGACAGAAGTGTGCAACATGTTAAAGGCAAAAAATATAGTCTGTTCAGGACATATTATGTACAATAGTAGTGGCAATTAAAGAAATAGCGGAAATATTGCAGTTTCTTTTAGACCTAGCGCAAGTGGCTTAAAGTGACTTATTGTACAGTCTGACAGCGGTAGGGACAAGTCTTTTATTGTGAAAAGACAAGGACAGAAAGTGAATGTCCAGTGTATGCTGCAGCTGCATGAAAACTTGTCCTAAATTCTCCGTCTGAAAAGGGGTTGGGATAAAGACTTCACGATGTGTTTTCTGCAATAACACTGTATACATTTATATCCAGGTGCTGTGTCCCAGTCTGACAGAAGCGCAGAAGTGCATTGTGGACAGGATGGAGGAGGCTCACAGACTGTTCAGAACACAAGACAGCGGCTTTGACCGAGTAGGGAAATATAATCAGGGATGCATCGATCCAATGTCAATATCTCCAGCTGCTGCTATATACAAACTACATTTTTACAATCCGTCAAGTATCTACAGGACACCTTGGTATGAGTGAAGTGTGGGGGTAATGTGGCACAGTGGTTCGAGCTTGTGTTTCACAGCAACTCCAGATCGTTCCGATGGGAGTTTGCGCGTTCCCCCACTGTCCCAGGTTTCCTCTGGGTGCTCCGGTTTCCCCTTACCGCTAAAAACATGCACAATCGCTCTGGCATTTGGCTCCTTTACTGGCAACTCCTGCTCTCTGGTCTGTGAAAGGTGCTATACAAATACAGATAACTTGCAGTGGAGTTTGCATGTTCTCCCCATGTCTGCGTAGGTTTCCTCTGGGTGCTCCGGTTTCCACTATCACTAAAAACATATACAATAGGTCTGGCATGTGCCTCCTGTGCTGGCGACTCCTGCTCTCTGTGTGGAGTGGGAGACAAATGGCCAAAAATTAACAATTGTAAACCGCTTTGAGACTCAGATCTGCAGTGAAAAGGCGGTATATAAATAAATACTTACTTACTACTTACTTACTTACTGGGCGGCACGGTGGCTGAGTGGATAGCACTCTCGCCTCTCAGCAAGAAGGTCCTGGGTTCGAATCCCGGTCGGACCAGGGCCTTTCTGAGTGGAGTTTGCATGTTCTCCCCGTGTCTGCGTAGGTTTCCTCCGGGTACTCCGGTTTCCCCTACCACTAAAAATATGTCCAATAGTTCTAGCATGCGCCTCCTGTACTGGCGACCCCGCTCCCATCTCTGTGTGGAGTGAGAGACAAATGCCCAAAAATTAACAATTGTAAACCGCTTTGAGACTCAGATCTGCAGTGAAAAGGCGGTATATAAATAAATACTTACTTACTACTTACTTACTTACAATTGTAAAGCGCTGTGTGACTCTGGTCTGTGAAAGGCTCTATATAAATAAAGATTACTTACTTAATGTGTAGGGGTGCTGTTTTGGAGTTTTTGTTAGTCTGATCCAACAACAAAAAAACCCTGGATCAACAGCAAAAATCAGTGGCAGTATCAGTGTTGGTATCGGTGCATCCCTGCAAATGCAAACAATAGTCTGTATTTACTCTCATATACAGTCCATACTAATACATGTGTGCGTTCAGATGAGCGAGTGGCCGTGCACGGACAAAGACGACGCCCCTCAGCTGCACAGACTGTCGCAGTTTGCCAGGACAATCCCAGGTAACGTCAGACGCGCTCAGAGAATACACTGCCTCACATGTAGATGAAGCTCTGATCTTTGCTTTGGACTAATGAGGATCAAAGCTTGTCAGGAGTCCACTTGTAGATGTACAATGGACGTAAACCTAATCTGTTTGAAAGAGGACTTAACTGTGAAACTGTAGTTGTGTCCTGAGGCAAGACACTTAAAGATGCAGTCAATGATTTTTTCCAGATGCATTTTTATTTTTTTTTTATTGTGGGAAAACGTCCCTAAACCCTAAAAGTACCCAAGTTTTCATGTGTTTTCAAACAGTAATGGAATTGACCAGATGCCTATAGTCCCCAAAAAATACTAAACAATATTTTGGAGCGGACCGATAAACCAATGGGATTGGTTCATCCCCAACGAACCACTGAAAGCGTTTACCCCCCTTCACCCTCCCTTCCACTTTCTCACGAGTATGCACACCTGAGTTATCGGATTATTTTCTAAAACCTAAAATGGCTGAACAGAAAAGGCAAATTTCACGTTTGCCGCCCACTCTCCCTGTTGTGACAAAGTAAAGAAAATGCTGGATGTTTGGTTTGATGGAGAGGGAGGGGAGGGGGAGTGGTTTCGAGTTGGTGCTACGGCTAAGCTAACAGCATTGCTAACTGCACCTTTAACCCACATTGCCTATTATCAATCAATCAAGTTTATCTATATTGTTTGTAAAGCACAATTCATGCAGTGCAACCCGAAGTACTTTACACAGACATAAAAGCAAACACATTTACAGACATTTTAAAACATGAGGTAAAAAGAAGAAGAAGACAAAAGAATATCATGAAGAAAGAAAAGAAACATTTCAAACTGAATGTGTATAGAAAACTCAATATATACTGTAAAAGTCAGTCATATGCACAGCTAGAAAGAATGTTTTTCAGCTCAGACTCAAACCATGCCTCCAGTACATCAATAGGAAGACGACTGAAACGCTGCCTCCGCATGATAAGTCCTGACTCTGGGACCAGCAGGAGGCCAGTCCCTGTGCTCATCATAGTCTGAGTTGGTTCATACAGGACTAACATGTCACTTATGTACTTTAGTGCGGAGCTGCTTTTAAGTCTGTTCTCTGAGCCATGGGAAGCCAGTGCAGAGACCTGAGAACTGGACTAATCTGGTCATACTGTACTTCCTGGTTTTAGTCAGGCATCTAAACAAGGCCATTACAAAGAAAAAGATATACTTTATTGATCTCACAATGGAGAATTACAGCAGTCTAATCTAATGGTTCCAAATGCATGGACACGTTTTTTGTCTGGTTTACACCCCATATTTTTAATTTAGCCGATTCTTTTGAGGTGATAGAATGCTGCTGACGTTATAGATTTTAAATTTCAGGTCAGAGTTCTTTATTACCCCAAGATTTCGTACTTCTTTCGTTAGATTTTTGAGTCTGGGGTGTGTGTGAATGGTTGGTTGTGGTTAGAGAAGCCAATCCCAGACAGCTGGCTACAGTAGTAGTTTACCTCTGTGTGTATGGAGTGAAAGAACAATGTGAAGTGTCTTTGAGGGTCTTAAAAGCGCCATAAAAACACGTCTGTAGTTGTCACAGTCGTCTCCACACGCCACAAAAGGCTGCCACAAACCTCTGGGGTTGATCCCTCGGGGCGAACCATCTGATAAAATACAAGGACAAAGAATCTTTTGAAGAACCTTTTGTGCGTCGTAGAATGACACTGTTAGTTGTTGTTTACTCATGTTTCATTAGAGTCTTTATTCATTTTTAAACTCATTTCCGTCAAGAAGAAACATTTCAGAAAAGCAAACTAGAGAAGTTTCATTAACGCAGACTAAATTCCTGGATCCAGACATTGGTCCAGCTCACCTTCAATATTATACTGTTTTCTCCTTGTCCCATTTCCATTTCATTTGTGTTCATATCCACCTCTTGCTAAACTCACAACCAAACAAAGACTGGAACATCACCCCCTTCCAAGGAAACAGATCTAGAGAAAAACACCTAATGCCAGAATAATACACTGAAATGAAGTTATCTGCTCCTGATGAAATATTGACTTTTTTCTGTCTTGCTTAATCAAAATTCAGCTAAATTTTCCTTTTTTTCTATTTTTTTTATTTTTTTATTATGACTTTGAATATGATATGGTTAGATTAGATTTTGCAGTGCCATTTTTCCTTCCAAAATCTCATGTAATGTTGTGGCCCTTCTGTCTGGCGCCATCCCTGGGTCCCTGGAGCCTAAAGTCCCCTGTGTCCTCAGGCTTTGAGCTGCTGCAGGCCTCAGAGCAGAGCTGCCTGCTGTCGGCCGCCTCAGTAGAAGTCCTGTTCCTGCTCTCGGCTCAGCAGTTCTCCCACTGTCCCGACAACTCCCCATCAGGTAACGAACACCACGGATCCCACTGACAAGAAGTTTTACATATTCATTATGAGATTGTATTTATTTTGTAATTCATTTATGATTGAAGAAAGGTGGTAGGGTGTTTGAGTGGATAGCACACTCACTTTTCAGCAAGAAGGTCCTGGGTTTGAATCCCGTCAGAACAGGGTCTTTCTGAGTGGAGTTTGCATGTTTTCCCCGTGTCTGTGTAGGTTTCCTCCAGGTGCTCCGGTTTTCCCTACCTCTAAAACCATGCACACTATGTAAAATCCTCCAGCTCCGGTAGTCCTGACCAAGCCGAGCATCAACAACTGGAGATGGGTTCCCGGGCGCTGTTACTACGGCGACCTCTGCTCCTGACGTAAGCCTTAGTGGCATCAGGATGGGTCAAATGCAGAGTATGAATTGCCCTACGGGGATTAAGAAAGGGCATCTGTACCATTACATGTACATAAGTCTTGCCTGCGCCTTCTGTTTCGGCGATCTCACTCCTATCTTTGTGTGGAGTGGGAGACAAATCCTCAGAACAATTGTAAAGAACTTTGTGACTCTGATCTGTGAAAGGCGCTTTATAAATAAAGATTACTTATACTTACTTACTTAAAGTCATTTTTCTACCTCTATTAGGTCTGCATCTGTTCAACATGAGGTCTCACAAGTGGCATAAGAATCCAAAAGAGAATCTTCCCAGCAGGACGTGCTCCATTGCAGGTAAAACCAAAGTCCTTATAGTTTGTAGACCAAGATATCTGTCTCTGTAAACGTTCAAAGTATTATTTTTTAATTCAAAGGGAGGAAATGTGTGACAATTTAGTATAGCAAGGAAATGAAAAACGAGGGAGAACATATATATAAAAGATTTACATCCTCTGTTAAAACACATTGAGAGTGTGTGAATGTGTGTTTCAGAAGTGGGTGATGATTTGCTGGAGCCTGTAGTGACGTTCTTTCACAGCATGGTGGCGCTGCAGCTCTCAGAGGCTGAATATGCTCTACTGACTGCCACAGCTCTCCTCTGCTCAGGTCTGTTATTTTTGTACTTGTTAAAGCTGGGGTACCTGACTTTCAAACCACAAAAAAGTCCTCAACGTACATTAAATCCACTCCCACATATTAATATTTTTTTTTGGGCTTGCTTCACTCAGCCAATCAGCTCTCAGCCCAAAACATCAACCAGGGACTCCCAGGACCTTTTTACAACCATGTCAGGTAGTGGCAGAGAAGTTAGCACATTTGTTTCTCGCAAGATGGTCCTTGGTTTTGAATCCCGGTCAGAACAAGGCCCTGTTGAGTGGGGTTTGTACGTTCTCCCTGTGTCTGCATAGGTTTCCTCCAGGTGCTCCGGTTATTTCTACCACCGAAAACATGCACAATAGGTATAATCCTCCATCTCCAGTAGTCTTGACCAACCCCAGCATCACCATCTTGGGCCTCTAGGTGCAGTGCAGAGGACATACCTTATATATACAGTGATTTCTAAGCATGGCTGGACTTAAAGCTGGGGTACCTGACTTTCAAACCAGGTACCCCAGCTTTAAGTCCAGCCATGTTAGTCTGGACTTAAAGCTGAAGTTAGTCTGGACCTAAAAAACAGAAATGGACTGTGAGGCTGGGAGCAACAACTACATCATAGAAGCACAATGACAAAGAAGTTGGTATATGATGGAAGCCCCTTCACTCCCTGTCTCATTGCTTTGTGGACATTGGCAGGGTAGATATACTGAAGTGAGTACCATTAGCAAGTGGAATAGCAATGTTTTTGAAGTACTTTTGTTTAGGATTGTGTGTTTATTCTGTTTTCATGGGTTTTTATGATCGTAACAATTGAAACATAAATTCATGAATCGAAAATGGCAAATGAAGACAGCATGTTATGCTCTGATTCATGCAGCCTCATGTGTTCTGATACAGAAATTAGCTGCTTATTTCAACCTCCTGGACCAACTTCTTTTATTTATCCTAAACTTTCTTACTGATTGTGTTCAGCATGTTTTAGTGAATGGAAAAAGGTCTGCTCCTTCCATCTCCAACACTGGTTTGCCCCAAGGATGTGTTCTTTCGACTCTTCTTTTTGTCCTCGACCAGTTGTCGATCATGAGAGGAGTACGGACTTCTGGATCTTGGAACAACACTGAGTCCATCATTAAACGGTCGCAGCAGAGAATGTACCTGTTGAGGAAATTGAACTCTTTTAATGTAAACAGGACAATTCTCAATCATTTGTATTGATCTTTTATTGAAATCCCTCTTAGCTTTTCTTATATCTGTTGGTTCCAAAGCCTGACGCTGAAGGACAGAAACAGGTTACAGAGTGTTGTGAGAACTTGCTCCAAAATCACTGGAGGAAAACTCAGAGACCTCCAATCTCTGTGGGAGGAACAGGTGCTGAATAAAGTAGGGTGTATTCTGGCTCAGCCCAAACATCCTCTGATCGCTGACTTTGTAATAATGCCTTCAGGGCGTCGTTTTTTTGCTCCAGCGTGGAAAACAAATTGTTTTTTCCAATTCGTTTGTGCCCTCTGCCATAAAACTGTTGAACTCTGGTGGAGGTGTTGGACTTTTGGGATTCTGTGTGTTCTGCTTTGAGATTATGCTGGAATTTTTTGCCCTTTGGGATCAATAAAGTTTTTTGAATCCTCAACATTTTACTTTTACTGGCCTTTTTCTGTTCAGACAAATAACATTAATTAATCATTAAACCATATGCCAGGTACCTCAGCTTTAAACCCTCCCATAATGGCTCACATGTGTTCAATGACAGCGTGTGTGTGTGTGTGTGTGTGTGTGTGTGTGTGTGTGTTTGTGTTTCAGACCGGGCCTCTCCTCAGGCCTCTCAGCGTGTGGAGAACATGCAGGAGCTGGTTCTTCACCTCCTCTCCACAGTGTGCGGCCCCCAGAGCAGAGCAGAGCGGGGGCCCCAGCGGTTTGGACGCTTGTTGAGCAGACTGACGGAGCTGCGGACCCTTCGACACAACTACCTCCTCCTCAGACAACAGCGTGGACCGACCCCACCTCCACTTTGTCACCTGTAGCCTTCACCACAGAACGGAACCTTTCTCTTTAAACACTTGTGCTATCCTCAGGTCAAACTGGCCCTCCACACTGATTCAAAAATACCATAAATATTTATTTTTGAGCTGAATTTTTATGATTTTTGACCAGCCCTGGGTCATATAGACTCTTACACTCTAATTTTGGGATTTTCTCTTCTACCTTTAATCACTGTAGCGGGTCATTTTGACTTGAGGGTAGCGCACGGATTGTATTTAGACTTAATATATTTTTTTTGTACGATGAAGAACCATGTTAATGTAGAATACAAAAAGATCCCAGTGTGTTTGTGCCTTGTCTTTCCTTGTCAATGTCAGCTTCAAGATTCAAGAATTTATTTTCCATTTGCAGTAAAACTACATTGGAAAAACTGTGCAAGAGTACCCCAGTGTGCAACAGGATAGCACACACAAAAGCTCTTTCCACAACGCCATTTTGTTGTTGTTGTTGAAAGTGCTTCACGGGCACGAAAGATTAAAAACATTTTATAAAAGCAAACAGTGTAAAATACTTACAAAAACATGTAATCACAAAGGATTTTCTATGCCATTTTCCCAAATCAAAACATTTGCTACCACAGCACCATACCCACGATATTAATATGTATGTGGAACTCACCGTATCCAGAACTTTGTGGTGGCGTCTCCCAGGACAACCACCGGCCTGCAGGCGCCCTCTAGGACACTCCTGGGTCAGACTAATTGGTATATGGACATTTTAAAACACCAAGTCATCACATTGTCAAGTCTGGAGAAGGAACAGCTGAAGGAAACATGATTGACACATACTTTTAACGATAATAATTACTATTCCTCATTTGAGATGCTTTCCTCTGGTCCAGAATTTAGAATGTTCTGGTTTATGATATTTTCTGTAGTTGTCAGGCATTAGGGGCCGGTTTCCAGATAAATAGGAAAATTTGTCATGAAATCATAATCACCTATAATCTACCTTTGCTCCCAGATTATAACAATCAACTTGTACAAATAATGTTTGAGATTTTCAGTTTAAAGTTGTTCTTAATTATAAATACAATGACAAAGAAAAAAAAAACCTGAGAACAATGAGATTAAGGATTTTTAAACAGATCATCCAATGAGAATGTGGCTCTCATTTGGGTTGCCAGTTTGTTCGGTGAATTTGAGCTGGTTTTGGCTCCTAGCACCACACATATAATATCACATAAGTTATCATATACGCAACATATAACAAACCCCAGCAGGTGGATTCCATCTGTAATCCGTGTTTATAGGAGCTACATGTCACTGGCAGTAAAAGATGGATTTCATCATTTACTTGAATCAGCAAATCAGACTTGACCCAAAGCAGATCATTAACACATCATCCAGCCAACCTCAGCTCTGCCAATATACACGTGTCATACATCAGCTTAGATCATCTAGAACTCACTCTTTTCATTAGTTTAAAATTTTTGCATGATTGTGTGTTCTTAAAAACACACAAAAAAAAAAAAAAAAAGTTAATTGGACATAGGCTGATAAATCCTTAATCACCATCGGTATTAGCTACAAACATATCCCCAACCGGTCGGTCGGTAGTTAGCGTAGAGTGAAATGATGAAGAATTAAAACCAGACACAGTAGTTGTAATAGCAATGAGTTTATTGATTTCCTGAAATGAGGAAATTCGGCTAGAAAACGGGCATTTGGTGAGTTGGTAAAATAGAAGCTTATGACGGTGTTTCCATCAGATAAGGTCCGGGCGTCCCCAGCAGAAAGATCAGACAATAAATACTCTTCAGGCATCCACAGAGTGACGAGAGCGTTGGCTTTTGCTTCTTAAATAAGATTTCATTCTCCATTTAAACCAATATAACTTTATTTCTATAATTCTGTCTCTCCATAAATAAATTATTTCTCTCTGTATCAAAAGAGAATTCAAATATAAAGAACATTGTGTGCTATACTTTACACTCCGCACAATGTTAGTACATCAAATACCAGCTAAAATACATCAATGCAGCAACTCGGGAATTATTTTACCTCCACAAATATACACACCACCTTTGCCTCGTGGCTTGATTGAAATACGCAATTTAAAAAAAAACATTATCGTAAAATTTACTATGACAATACAATTACATATGTACACGCAGCTAGAATATACAAGTGTTTCTGTAAAAGATTAAAAAGTAAAAAGGTCTGGTATAAAAGATGGCAGTGATCCATTCATTTGTCTCTTATAAATCTCTTTTGTGACACTTGATTTCTATGGCAGTTGCTTTATATAAAATAACGTCATCGCTTGAAAACCAGGAAATAAAGGGAATTTAATTTCATTGAGAGCTTGTCCTTCTGAGCGCGAAGGCTGCGTCAGTCCTGTGCCAGACACTAGTGGTTTGAGCTGCAGAGTTCAGTGGAAATGCATAGTGAGAGTGGCGCCCCCTAGAGGTAGCTGGGGGCCACGAAGCCCTGGCTGTGGGTGACTCTGCTCTGGTGGACCATGGCGCGGTCGTAGGCCACCTGGACGGACTTGCGGATGCTGGATTTGCGCGCCTCCATCATGCGCAGTTTGTCCGCCGTGTCGTCCACTCCCAGAGGGGTCACTTTGTCGCGAGGGAGCCACTGCCTGGGGAAAAAAAACAGACATGGATTGTGAGGCTAGGAGTAATAACTACATCATAGAGGCACAATGACCAAATCTCTCAGCAGATATACATTTTGACCCCCCTCGATCCTCATTCTACAGCCGAGACCTGGATTTACAGCCTGCCCATCCGTAGAAGCGGATTCCCTTACTCAATGTTATATTTGTTTCCCACTCTGGGTTCTGCAGGAGGATCTAAAGCCAGTTATGACCTGTGACATTTATCAACATTGGTCATTTGCCCTCTCTATGAACTCTATGGCTTCGATGTATTTATAATGATTGCATTTCAATTCAATGTATTCTTGTATAGCCCTACATCACAGCAGTAGTTATCTCGGAGGACTTCACAAAACCGCTGAATTTGCAAACAGAGATCAGAGAATCAAACAGTTCAAACACAAGAAATACCATGATAAAAACACACAGAGCCATTGGTCCATAATGGCTTTTGTTTAATTTTGAATGCGCTGGAAATGGCAGAAAGTCCTAAGCATCTCTGAAACAGTTTATAATTTTCATTTTTCTTGCTTTTTTTTACCTTAGATGTTGCTGCAGTACAGTGTTTATGATTTTGCACTGGTGTAGACGGGAGCAAAGAGGATTCATGGTTCAAACCAAGCGGATCGGGCGAAAACTTTCTGCTAACTTTTTAGAAAGAACAATTTTATTTTTTATTTTGCTGCTACTGGACACCTGAATTCCTCCTATGGGGATCAATAAAGTATATATTTATCTATCTATCCATAAGGGGCAGACGACCAATGTCCATGAATGTTGATAAATGTCCATAGATGTTGTCAAGTGTCCTGGATCATCACCACTGTCCTTTTAGCCGTTTGATTCTCTGATCTGTTGTTTGACAAAATTATCAATTTTGTAAAGTTCTTCGAGATGATGGCTGTTGTGACTTTGGAGAATGAAAAAAAACACCTAATAATCCAAATGAAGTTTTAATGACGGACTTCAAACCTGTTGTTTGTGAGGGCGTGTTGACACTTACCATGTCCTCTTGTTGTCAAAGAAGAGCACGAGGTAGAGCCGCTGGTCCGCCTCCTCCTGCTTGTTCTCGCCCAGCTTCAGCACCTCTTTTGGCGGGACGGGGATGGGGACCCCGTTGTGCAGCATGCCGTCTTCAGGCGTCTCAGGGTCGATGATCTGTGATGGACACAAGCAGCAGCTGCGGTCAAAGCACCGTTCTGACAAAACATCTATGGCCCAGTCCCAATACCCACACTTCACCCTACGCCCTCCTACGAAGTGTGCATTTGTTTGAAGTGCACGCAAGGGTTTGAGTGCGCAGGTTGCAAGCGTGCACAAAAGGCGGAATTGGGACAGTGCACGCTGAGTGCAGGTTACGTCATCGACTCGTCAAGAGATGGTCATTTTCAGACCTAAACTTTATAAACATTAAAGGTAATTTTGTCTGACCCTTTGGGAAACAAAATGAATTGCTTCACACACGTTAAAATACATGTATATTAGTTGTTTCTAATTAGAGATAGCTGTATAATTTTAAGTAAAATGTGGGTAACTAACTAGCTGGTCAGTTATTGTAAGTGTAAAGTTTATATTGAATATTATATTAACGCTTGATTTAAAAAGTTATTAAATTGTTAAAACACAATGTCCGTAGTTCTTCATCAGACGTTTATGCTTCTTTCCAAGTAACAGCAAAACTTATTTACACACATACTGCATATATATTTCAAAATGTATATTTAAATGCATTTTCCCGACGTTTTGGTGTGTACCGCAAAGAATTATGGGCAATATCCTTCGCCAGAGTGCGCATAGATGCAGGCTACGGCGAAGTGTGGATCAGGGGCGCAAAGGGGGCGGGGCCAAAGACCTCCCTGGAGAATTGGGACACCCTACGCACTCGCACCCTTTATCGGGAACGCGCAAATGAGGGGCGCGAGGGTGGAAGTGCGAGTATAGGGACGGGCCTAAATCACGGTTCAGAGGTAAGATCGGACCGTACCAAGTCTGAGCGGTCCCATCACAATATGATTAACGATCAGTGTTATATTTGAGAAAACACAATGCATGAACCATTTAGCCAATACAAGATCCCTACACATTTCAGAATTATTTTCTTTTCCAGAGTTAAACTGCAGTACAACCAGATCAAATATTAGGGAATAAAATCAGATATGCCACAGTAAGTAACAAGTCATCTTCTTTGCAAAGGCCTATAATATCTGCAGTGTTTGGGATTTGCTACTTGGACCACTAAAAAAAGGCATCACAAGGAATCTTGTCGCACACTCGCAACTGTTTAAAGTAACTTTGCAAACATTTTTTCCATATTGTGAATTTGTTAACAGCGATACAGTTACGGAAAAATCTACTCTGCAAGCAACAAAGAGGGCTTAAGAGCAGAGAAGAATTTATAATGGCTTGAATAGAGAATAACCTAGGTAGATTCAATTTGCAGCTACAGCAAATACATGACCGGTATATAACATTGACAGAGGGTCAGGGTTAGGTCAGGGTCATACCAGAGCAGGGTAAGAGGGGTATCCTCGAGACTTGGCCCACACCAGGTCTAAAGGCTCTAGCTCCGTCTCGTCGTCCGATGTCTGACTGCCATAACCTGAGAGAAACACAGAAAAACCATTTACCAGAGAGAGAGAAAAAAAAAAGACCCGTTTGATAATCCCATTGTATTGAGTGAGATTTTGAACATATGTATTTTTATGCTTTGTAAACACACTCACTCTCGGCATTTGTAAACCATAGACATCACTGAAATAATCATAATTCTACATTTAAACCTGCTGGAATGAACATGCGCACCAGTGTAGTCCGAGTCGCCGTTGACCATCTCAAGTAAAGGGACTTTGGAGAGAGCGGGTTTTCCCAGACTTCGCTTTGGTGGAGACGCACTGCAACAAAAACATCAAAAAATGAGGATTGTGTGTGACGTCAGATAAACTGTTTCACTCACACTGAAGAACCTACATTTCTTTTTGAAGGACAGGACAAGGGCAGTCCTCAGAGTCCGATTTGGCGTCTTTCACTTTACTGAAGCCGTTGGTCAGTTCTGTGGGGAGATACACAACTTTAGTTTAGTTTGCTTAGTGACATAATACTAAAAAGGTTAAAGACCTAAAGACTGGGTGTCAAATAGCATAAGCAACTGGGCCCGGCTGTACTGGTTCAGTATTTGAGCAAAGAAAAGAATACGCTTGTTTTGCAAAATCTACACTTGCTGGATGCAAACATGGTGCAGCCAATGCTCAACATTATAGAAATGATTAAAAATCATAGAAAGCCAGGGTTAGGGTTCAGGTTCAGTCACGTCAGACACATCAGTCTCTACATATTTTTTAATGTTTGCTTTTGAATGCACTGGAAATGGCAGCAAACCCTAAGTGTCTCTGAAATAGTTGTTGTTTTGTGATTTCCAATTATTTTCTTGCTTTTTTCTGCCCGAGATGTTGCTGCAGTTCAGTGTTCATGGTTTTAAACTGGTCCAGACCGGAGCAGAGAGGATTCATGGTCTACCAAGCGGATCAGGTGAAAATCCACTGGAAGAAAGCTAACATTTTGAAAAATGCTAACAAAGCATTCAGCATCTCACTTTGGACTAGAAAATGGTCCGAACCAAGCGGCTCCACCTCTGCTGCTGTGACATTAGTGCGGTTTTAAAACAATTGTTAGCCATTTTTAGAATTATGTATTTATTTATTTATTTTTTATAACTGCATGTGTTTCTGCTGCTAATGGACACCTAAATTTCTCTTATGGGGATCAATAAAGTATCGATCTATCTATCTACACAAAAAGATCATTTAATCTCATCCAAACTGGTGGAAGTCAAACAATATGTGGTCATCTTTGTTTTCTGTCTTATGGCGAAGGATCCACATTTTGTTTCTTTATTTTAATAATTACCAGTATCTTTTGTGTGGTTGAGGGTCTTCCCCTGCTCAGTGCTCTGGTCTTTGAGGCTCTTCAGGTCCGGGGTGCTGAGGCTGGGGGGTCCGGGGCTCTTCTGCGGCGTGGACAGCGGCGTGGACAGGGGCGTGGCTGACGGCGTGCTGGCAGCTGAGGTGGGGGTGGAGGCTTCTTCCTGAGGCCCTTTACCGTTCAGCAAAGGATTGTCTCTCTCTCTGAACAGCTTGGTTCCGTTCTTGGCCTTTTTGAACAGAACAGAGGTGCGGCGGCCCACTCCCCCGGTGGCGGGCCGTGGCGGACACGTGACGACGGGAGGCAAACCGTTGGTCACCGTCTCATTGTGTAGCGTCGGGGGGAGCGTGGGGGGCCGCTCTTCAACTTTAGTGCAAACATTGTCCTGTGAGGAGTCCGCGGGGGTCTTGGAGAGGTCGGGGAGGTCTGGGTCCATCTTGAGGCGCTTGCAGGCCCAGTTGGGGGACGCGAGGGGCTGCGTGATGGGCTTCAGGGTGGGGGGCTCCAGAGCGTCATCTCCCAGTCGCGGAGGAGGGGCCGGTCCTGTAGGTTCAAGTGTCGGAGGGGATGTAAATTTAAGGTCGTCTGCAAAAATAAGGAAGGAAGATGAATTGACGTTCAGAATTTAGCTCACTCAATATGAAAGAGTATGTGTGATGTGGTGGCGTGTTTCAACTGGTGAATGAGTCGACCGTTTTGCATGTACACATTGTAATGGCATAACAAGCTCAATAGTATACTACCTTCTCCTGGAAAGAGCACTAAATATGGAACTTGGAGTATATCTGGGGAGGGGGGAGGGGAAAAGTCCTAGGCCCTGTGCTGAGAGCCTCGGTCCACGTTCATAACAAATACTTAGTTTGTGGTACAGACTTGCCTTCTTTGGGCAGATTACAACAGCACATGTAAACAGCACATTTTGAAACTGAGGAGTTTTCCCAGTCAAAAAGCACACATGCACCAGGGGTCTTATTTGCAGCAAAGTGTTTTGTGGTTTTCCTTGTGGTACATATGAAACACCTGCAGTTGAGTGAGTCTTGAAGACGCTCTCTCAAGAGGAGCATGTTAACATTGCCGAAGCAAACATGATATTTTTAACTCATGTCAAACACAGACCTCACACCTTTCGCCCCTTCATGCTCTGGTGTGACTAGTAGTCAGGCTGTTCCCGTGTTCCAGTGATACAGAACTGCAGAGTGAGTTCAAATTAATTCAAACATTACTTAAACTCTACCAAAAGTTATCACCAAAAGCCCTCAGAAGCACTCAGCTTATGGAGAACATCCAAAGTAAACCTCCTCCATCACAGGGTCAAATGTCCATCTGGACTCCGCTGTCGTTCTCTTTAAGCACACAAGCCCAGCTCTGACTCCTGTGCTGTGTCTTCATTGTGTAAACATGTGTGTGGTCCAACTCTATACACTGCATTCAAATGGCATGCCTCCCATTCGGACACTCTAGTGTTCTCTTTAGTCGTTTATCAGAGAGGGGTGGGATGAGTCACAAGACTCTTGTCAGATGATGGTTTATGGCATGAGCACGTGTTCGATGGGTGGCGTGAGTCCATGAGGAGATGTACAGAAGGTGTGGACACAGTGCACTTGGAAAGAGTTGTGAGGCAGCCATGGCTAACCAGACTCTGTGGGCCCCTACTTACTAGACTGCAGACAGTGGGGTGGTGGGGTTGGTGCGAGAGGGAGACCCTGGCTCATTTACCTGAGAACAATGTTCTGTTAGCTCATGTTCACAGCTAGTCTCATTAAACACTGGCTTTGAGAAAAGGCGCTGCACGTTTCCTGTAGTGACCCACCTTTGTCTGAGGAGAGGCCGTTCTCGCCCTGAGATTCCGTGTCCTCGTCCTCGTCGTCAGACTCTTTGAGGTGTCCGTTGTGGAGGCTGTTGCGGTGTTGTCCCTGACGGTGGCGGATGATGTTGATCTCTCTTCGCAGTAGACGGACACGACGGGTCCGTGCACCGCTGCCGCGCATGGAAGAGACAAAGTCTAGCTTGTCCAGCAGCTCCTTCAGCTGCTCCTCCACGCTCATGTGAAGCCTGTTCTCTGGGTCCAAGAGACTATCAACTACCAAACAGGAGGAAATCAGTCTTTATTAGTTCATATGTTCTACCTGGAGGATTTGTCTTCCAACTAATATCAAGTTTGTATACATGGGCTCACCATCATCCCATGTGCAGTTGTAGAAGTCTCGTTTCTGTGGAGACTCGGGGAGGTGCATTCCCGTGTCCAGGTCCAGACCCGTGCTGGTCGACTGTCTCTGGGCATGTCGAAGAATAGCTCCCCCCAGATCCCTGAGGCGCAGTGCAGCCCGGTGGAACACTGTGTCCTTGGAGTTGTACAGGAGGCAGTTGGACACCATCAGGTTAAAGTCTGCCTCCAGGTCCGACACAGAGCGATACAAGTGGTTATTTAACTTTGAGTGCATGGTGGTGAAGTCCATGGGCTGACTGATGAACTCCAGATAATCAGGGACCTGGAAACAATACGATGGTTATACTGCAAAACAATGTTCAGTCAGGTCAAATTATAACAAAAACTATGACTTACCTCTTTGATGTCGACAGGCTGTGCAAAGATCTGTGCAGTGTCCTTCTCCTGAAGTTGCTCCATTGTGGAACGAAGCAGCATCAGCATCGGCGTCAACTGCATTTCCAGAGTTGCCTGGTGAACTTTAACCTATGCAAACGAATTAAGATTTTGTTATTTGACAAAGAAAAGTTCATATTTTCCAATATAGTTTCTAAAGAAAAATAAATTAACCAGAGACAATGGTGCAATGTGACTTCATAATGAAAACATATGCTGCAGTCGTAAACGTAGTAGCTCTACCTGCTCTCGCTTTAGCTTCTCTCTCTTGCGGATGAGCTCCACCAGCAGACGAGCCTTCTCCAGGTCGTGTCGCAGCTTTTGCCAGTATCTCAGTGCTTCTCTGGCGGCAGACACCTTCTCATCCACCTCAGGCTGCAAAACACACACACAAACACACACACGTTTGACAACAGTCTCTTTTGGGATGTCCTGTATGTGAGAAGCTGTTTGTGACCCACCTGTTCTGTGTTTTTCTGGGTCAGCAGGCTCGAGTGCATGCGCCGGACCAGCGGCACGCCGTTCCTCGACTGTCGCTTCAATAACCAGTAACTGTGGAGCCTCTGCATGAACTGGTTTTTCCTCTGAGAGATCACTCCTTTACAGAGACCGTTTAGCCTGACGTGAAAACAAAACAGAATCAAACACACAATTTAAAATTACACGCGCAAATGTTGCAAAGCCATAAAAGTCAAAAGCTTAATTGTGAATTGGTTTATGAGGCTTAGTTTCTATTGAATTGAATGAATAATGCATGTTGCAGTCTGATCTAGTATCAGTGCAGCAGATCTCACATACCTCTGCGTGGGGATGTTTGGAACAGTCACTTGTGGTGATGATGGCTGTTGTGCCTTTGAATCGATGCTCTTCTTTCCCTTCTTTTTATCGCTCTTATCAGTGACCTCTGACTTGCGCCCTTTCTTTGGCGTTATTGGCCCTTCTTTGTATGCACTGCGCCCCCTGCTGGCCCTGCCTCTGCTACCCACCACTCTCCCTTCAGTCTCATCATCAGAGGTCACATCACCCTGAGGAGAGTGCACTTCACAGAAGGCCGTCTTTTTCACAGAGTACGTCGTCCCGTTCACGTTGGTCACGCTCACAGGGTCGATCTTCATGAAGAGTCCGGCCCTCTGTGCACAGGTGACATGAAACGCTGTGTAGCAGTTTGCTTTATTGCATTGAATAGATGCCCCTCTGCCCTTCTGTTTGCACAGGCAGCAGGTGAGTTTCCATCGCGCCGGGGGAATGTTGGCGACTCCTTCCACTGGCTCCAAAAAGACCGTATTAGCAAAACAGACTTCTGGAATCCAAATAGCGCAAACTACATGTGCCCATCTCCCATCACTAGTTTGTTTAAATGCTCCGCCCCGGTTTGGACAAAGAACACAGTCTACTGGTTTCTGAGGCGACTGGAGGCAGCATCGACACAGCCACTGACCCTCAGGGATGTAGGGCACTCCATAGCATTCTTGGTGCACAGCTAAGTTACAAGAATCACAGAAGAGGATGACATTACTGTTTAGACATTCGTCATCCAGGCACACGCAGCAGAAGGCATCGTCGTCTATTGAACTCTGGGAGGGCGCTCTGATGCGGGCCTCCCTGTACGCCTCCTCCTCCAGTCTATCAATCAGCAGCTCAAATGAATCCGCAGATACAGACGAGAAACCTTCCGAAGTCCGATCAGTGTTCACCATTTCTAGCCAGGCTGAGTCTTCCTCATCCATGTCATACTCGGCTTCAGTTTCCCGCTCCTCAGCCGAGCGCTCTATATAACGGTAGTACCCAGAGGGAAGAGAAGGCGCTGCTGCTGGAGTGAAAGTGTGTCGAACCCGAAATCTAGGCTCAGGGAGGGCCATGTGATGATGGTGAGGCTTTTCCGGTGTATGCGGACAGTGGTTTTTTGGAGGCTGAGATTTAACCGGGGAACTTTTAGAGTCTTTTCTCTTTCTCGCTAAAGATTTGCGGACATTTTGAACAGTACTTGCTGGTATTAATGGCTGTTCGTTGTTCTCCTTGTTGCTGTTGCACTCACTTATGTCCTGAGCCATCATCTCATCCTCTGTGATGACCTCTAAGGGTTCCAAAATGGAGATGCGGTGAAGTCTGCCCTCCAGTTCCACCTCCACCACTTTCTGTGCTTGTGCGTAGGTGAGGGTCTCTCTGCTGGGGGAGGCTTTGAGGCTGTAAGGAGATGGGGAGCGCTGACGGGCCCCCCTACTGGACATTTTGCCATCAGGGCAGCCTCCCCCGTGGGCCCCTTGGGCTTTTCGACGTGGCTTCCTCATAAGCCCCCAATCGCAAATGTCTCTCTGTTGAAAAGAAAACATAGTCTAGTCAATAACGCCAACAATACCTTAAAGTAGGGATTCTGTAATTCTGTAAAAATTTGGTGAGGTGAATTGCTGTGGCCAACCAATGACCAGCATGAGAGAAGTTAATAAATGCTTTCCATATCGTTTAGCTTTACTTAATAATAAGAAATGAATACACCCATCTGCTCACTGAGAATTCCCACTTCTCTGTGAAAGGGTAAATCCATGTGCACTAAATGAGACATCCGTGTGGTATGAATTGCATAAAGAGTAACGCTAATTCACATTAACAGCATAATAATTATGCTTCTGATTTTATTTTACCTTTTTGTTTTGGGTAGACTCTTCCCCCCAGACTGAGCAACAGGTGCATAGGAAAGAAGGCACTTAGCTTACTTTAGTAAGAAACACGCTTGCAAACCTCTCATACTTGAATTTGATCAACAAACAATTTTCCGGTCACTGACATTTATAAAGTATATAAAAATACCAATTCCATAACCAATGCCCTGATTTAAGAATACTTGTTCAAATACAATTCCCCTAACCGTCTTTTGAAAGAAAAACTATTGTCAAGATTAATGCATTCTCCAAGTCCTGAGCAAGTCCCTCAGCGTTAACAACAGTCAAACCTATGATTACAGCGCTCGTGCTATGGTGTAAACATTCCTTCACGCTTGATAGTATGCATGATCAATCTAACAAACAGCTAAAATCAAGCAACGCATCTAATGGGTGTGATGCAATAAACGTGTCCCATATCCACGTATAAACTACAATAAGATAATGGGAAAACTAAACCTAAAAAAGAAGAAGACTGTATTTACTTTCGACTTTTATCACATTTTGTTGGCAACTACAATAAGGGCGGGCCAAAACACACACCGCGCATCCAATCAGAACTGGGCAAATTTTGACTGACGGAAGCCGCAGCCAATCAGCTCCAAGAACAGCAAAGCCTTACAGAGCTGTGTCCTTATTTCATGAGTGAAATGTCAGCCATATTTACAGGTTTTAAACACTGTCCAAAGCCACTTTTTCATGCATAAAACTATATTAACAGCACTCAAGCTAACCCGGAGCTCACAGAGTACGGCTATACTTGTAACAGCAGACATGCTTTACAGTATTGTACGGGAATACGCTGGTAGAGATTGGAGCTTCTAAGCCGCAGTGCTAAGTTAGAAGAGCTAGGGCAGTGCTGTCATTTTAGCCGTGGTTTGGGAGCAATAACAGGCGAAAAGACGAGATGATTTAACCAGACAAACCATATACCCGCTATGTTGCATGGTCTCAATGCCAGTCTTACCTGTAGAGACTGTTGCAGACTTGTCAGCAGAAAAGAAAGCAGTCTGAACAGAAATGGTTCCGTTAGCAGGTCGCCTCACTCCGGCTACGCTTCCACAGCTAACACCGATCAGTTTGTTGAAATAGCCGGTTAAATATCGTCAATTTTTAACAATTCCCTGGCCCCCCCTCACATTGTTCTGATGGTTAAAAAGGCATCTAAAAATGACAATAAAGGTCCAAGTGGTGCCGTGGGATGAAGAGGTATAATGGGTTGTTGTCGGGGTTTTTTTTCAAGTAGGAGAAATGTTAGCCTCCTTGAGCTAACTGGCTAGCTTCGGTGCTAATTTGTCATGGGATGCTAAAAACACTAGATTTCCGGTAATGTCTTTCAAAATAAAATCCTTGTGTGAGGGTTGTCTGTGTTGTCAAGTGTTGGCCCCATGTCTTGGCGTGAAAATAGAGAGAATACAATGCATGTGTGTTATAGATAATGGACTGTATAAAAACAGGGACTGTTAGTGCCCAGAGTCAGGACTAAACATGGGGAGGCTGCTTGTCAGATTCATGCTGCTAAAATCTGGAACAATCTTCATGAAAGTGTGAGACAGGCCTCCTCTCTGACAATGTTTAAAACCAGGTTGAAGACAGTTCTGTTTAGCTGTGCATACAACTGAGGGATTTTATATTTTTATCTTTCTTTTTAATGTTCTGTGATTATTTATGATTTTAATGCTTTCTTATTTTGTTCAGAACTCTGAATTGCATTGTGTATGAATTGTGCTGTATAAATAAACTTGCCTTGCCTAAATGTGCACTTTACATATGTCCGTAAGGCAATTCATCCTCTGCATTTGACCCATCCTGATGCCACTAAGGCTTCCGATAGGAGCAGTGGTTGCCGTAGTAACAGCACCCGGAGACCCATTTCCAGTTCTTGATGCCGCAGCTGGAGGATTTTACCTACTGTACATGTTTTTAGTGGTAGGGGAAACCGGAGCACCCGGAGGAAACCTAAGCAGACACGGGGAGAACATGCAAAGTCCACTCAGAGAGATCCAGAGAAGCGAGAGTGCTTTCCACCCAGCCACCATACCACCCCGTGTAGCTTAATGATATTCAATTGCATTGGCCATCATGTATTATTTAATTCTTTCACATTGCTTTTTCATTTTCCCTTTTACATAATATGGTAACCATGGAACCTAAATAGCATTTTTCTTTTGTAAACAAACTGTATTCTGATTTTAGTTAGGCCCCCTAGAAAATCTTTATGCTTTAGTGGAGAAATGTGTCATCGTTGGGCATATTACAGTAGAAATTACAATAGAAATAAAAGCACCCAGGATACATTAACATCAAACAAGATCTATAATTTAATACAATTTAAATAATATAGATTGTATGATAATATATAATAATATATATATACTATTAGGTAGTTTAAAAATAAACCAACAATAAACAGATAGTAAACTCTCAAGTTACAGTTTATCTTGGGTCATAGATTGGTGCATATGTGGAGTAAACACTGAAGTTAGCAGCAAGGAAGATTCACATTTGTAGCTAGTTGATATTGAACTTTAGCAGCAGAGAATATACCACAATAAATCATAATAGTATTAATAATAGCAGCGGGTAAAGTGGTGAATTATCAGAACAGATGATTGGCATATGTACAAGCCACAGACTGTATATATTAAACTCAGCAATTCTTGTTATGAACAAACAGGAGCCCTATTATATAACGTCATAAACACTGCTTTACTTTGTTTATAAGAGACATTATTGCTTTTTAAATCCACCTTCACTTAGCCTGGATTGCATTTAGACCTTTATTTGTTTGTATTTCCGGTCCAGGACCTCTGTCTGCTCGCTGACCTGACGGTGTGAATGAGACACAAACCACAGGCCGAAACCAAACTGTCACCCGCCTCCTGACGTCAGCAACTCACGATTTTCGCGCGCGGGTCACTATCCACTACAGTGCATCCACTATAATAACATCCATCCATGACCACACTTTAACGAACATATCCGTTTATCTGTGCATACAACTGATTTTATGCTGTACTATTTATCACATTTTAAACCCACATTTCGATAACAGTTTAAGATAAGATAGACTTTATTCGGGTTAGGGAAAAATGTACATGTCACATTTGTTATAGATAGAATCACTCAGATTGTGCAAAAGACAGAAGTGTGCTAACATGTTAAACGTAATTGTATATTGATGAATACCCATGCCTTTTTGTTTATTGCCTTTTTTTCTATGAATATATTTTGATCTGTTATTAAATCACTCGTCTGAAGCACTTTGAATTGCTGTGTACACAAATTGTGCTATAAAAATATGACTTCAGAATATTTAACAACAGGCTTTGACATTTTTGGAATAAAATACAAATAGATCCTTGGTAAAAATACACAATAGGCTTTATTCAAACAGATCCACACATTCAATTTCTGGTACAGATCATTAACGACCGTACTGTACAGGTAAAGAAAATATAATAAAGGGATGCAACAAACACCGATATCACAAATACCACATGATAAAATTCATGTTCACAATAAGCAATATAGTGCCCACAGAAAAACACGGCGCAAATAGTACAGTTTGTGTCCGGTTAAGAATACGGTAGTCTGATGATGGTAAAACAGAGCATCATAACTGCAGCAATGCCATGATGTAGTATTTCAATTATTTACAAATGAAATGTGTTGAAATGCAGTGATTCCCAAAGCGAGGTTCCCCTAAAGTCCTCGATTATTTTCACATATTTTATTTGCTTAAATCAATCATATATTTGTATTTGTATTTGATCTTAAAAGGTACATAGGAGGATTTTTTTACTTCCGGGTGGATCATCAAGACTGTTGGTCCTCCCAAGTGTCAATCATTCTGGTGATACTGTATGTGCTCGTCACATACAGAGAGTTTTGTTCAAAAAGTGGAGAGGGCGGTTCTTTCTTAAAATTTGGGAAAATCCTTCTACTTTAAAAGTGAGAATAATTCATGATCTCTTGAATAGATGTGAAATATGTTCATTTGGTTCTTTACCATACATGTGCAGCTCTGTTTGTCTATATTTATCCTGAGACAATAATAAACACAAGGTATAAATAAAGGAGCCGTCTTGTTTCGACACATACATAAGAGTGTTGAAGACCCGCGGGCACTGTTGGCTGTTGTGTTGGTGGATCAGCAGTTGTCGTTTCACATCCGGAGGTCATGGGGACATAGTGAGAGTGTTTTTCCTTTTGGAGTCTCTCCGCGGGAAAGGTACAAAGCTTTTCACTTCTTTAAAACATAATCCTGTGGACAGATAACGTTAATTAATAAACATAATGTGAACGGTAGCCTTGACAAATCGAAACTTCAGATATAATAATAAGGATCAAGCATTTAAGTGCAGTGTGTATCTCTGTCATGGACATTTCAGTAAAACATGCACTAAAATCTTGTTCTCTAGTTTCATATCTCGTTTGTGTGAGATATGAAACTGGTATGGTTAATATTGTTATGTTAAAAAGTCAATCGTGGCCAACTTTCCACCGTTGCCTAAATATAATTTTTATGACAAGTAAGTAAGTAATGTTTATTTATATCGCCCATTTTACAGACCAAGGTCAGCCAAAGCACTTTACAATGTTCAGAGTCAGATATTGTTGCAATTATTCCACACACGGTGATGACGGAAGCGAGTCCAGAACACACTGGTGCATCAGCCCCCAATCAACACCATCCATTCACTCTCTCATTTACATTCATACCTATTGTGCATGATTTTAGTGGTAGGGGAAACCGGAGCACCCACAGGAAACCTACACAGACACGGGAAGAACACGCAACGTCTACTCAGAAAGGCGCTGTTCCGACTGGGATTCAAACCCAGGACCTTCTTGCTGAGGAGCGAGAGTGCTATTCACCCAGCCACCCACCTCTTGTCCACGACAAGAATATATATTTATTTTACATTTATTACAACAATACCATTGAAGCATCATCTCTTGCTCAAACTTCTGTTAGAAAGTGGATTTGTACGTGAAGAGAACTACACGCCTCTGATATGATAAAACCGCTGAAAAAAGTGAATTATAGCGATTTAACGATGCATACTCTTCCACTCCTCCAGGGACATCGTAGCGTTGTCGTGTGTGTCGTCATAAGGTCTGGGCTCCGGCAGGTCGTCCGGGTCCCGGAGGCTGTCGAAGTACGGGTGCTCCAAAGCCATCTCTGCAGTGGGACGCTCATCTCCATCAAGGACCAGCATCTTCTCCAGGAGGTCGACGCCTGCACACCAGTTTACAGCATCAATGTGTGTTCTCTGCCGGGCTGCTGGACATATACTGGGCTTTTGTCTCCACTAAAAACACATCTGTGCTTTAGCCTCCTTTATGATCCTGGTTCATTTCAATTCAATTCAATTGATTCTTAAAAATGTATTCTTTAAACTGTTAAATTCTCCGACACAGATCAGAGAATCAAACAAACACAAGAAATAAATAATATCATATCTAATTGTAATTGTATTTGAGAATTTATTTCTGCAACATTAACATTTGAGGAGTACTGAAATCTTACCGCCCTGTTTTTTTTCTTAATGTATAGACAGGATATTAAAGATGTGTATGGTAGTAGAAGTTCAGCACTTTGAGTTGCCTTGTGTATGAATTGTGCTATACAAATAAACTTGCCTTGCCTTGCCTTGCCTTAGAAGTATTCTTGAAAATGTCTACCTTTTCATGAACAATTTTGATTCGCTAGTGATAAACTATTCTTGGCGGCAGTCCGTAATAAAATTAGCAAATGCACCAAAATATAACTTACACTTATCACTGACTCTGGGGAACAGAACGGAGAAGTCTTTTCGAGGGTAAGATGGAAGGTTCTTCATATAACTCCTGGCCTGAAATGAGTAAATAAAAAAATACATGATAAGAATGATAATAATAAGTCCAATTCTCAGTTTGTGCAAAGAGTGGCCAGATAACAGATACTTCAAGGATACTGGTCTGAAGTTTTCGTTGGTTTACCTCGGGAGTGTCCAGTTTCTGTATAAACTCTGGTCCTGGGACTCCAGTCACTTTCATGATTTGTGTCAGCTGATCCATGTCTAGTTATTGGATCATTATTAAGGAATCTGAATCATTGTGCAGATTGTAATATTCCATTTATAATCTTGTCACATTATTGGTTAGTTGCACCATGGCAACAACAAAGATAAGGTCTGTTCATGTTAATTACAACTGCGAGACTGTGTGGTGAGATACGACCTGATCTAATTATACAAACATAGCAATAAAAGACGTTATGATTCTTGACTAATATACATTGTAATTAAAATGTGTAAATTTTTTGAAGTACAAGCCCAAGGATACAATCTTTTCCTTTAAATAGTGTTTTCCCGTTGATCATCTCAGCCATGATGCAGCCCACTGACCAGATGTCCACTAGAATAAACAGAGACAACGTGAGTGGAACCGAGAGGAAATATCACAGAATTAACAAAACTGACCAAAAAACATTTACATATTTCACATTTGCATATGGAGTGAAATGGAGAATAGAAATGCAGTAATAGAATAATAACATTTAAGTTGGAGAGCATGGAGCATAGAGTTCAGAGACAGCTTTCGCTCTGATTGTTACGGCTCAGTCTGAGGCTCTGCGTCTGACAGCCGCTCACAGATAAAGAGAAGCACATTATTGTCGAGCTGACAGCCACGGAACACATTGAACAGTCTTTTCACAAACCACCCAACTGCCAATGCGCCGTAAGGCTCTCAGCACGGGTATGAGCTTAAATGTTTCTTCTTTTTTTTACTGAAGTGCACTTTGAGTGTTCAAGTATGCTGGGATCTTGTTCATGAGTTTGCATCATTTATGTGGAGCTTTTTAAAGACCGTCACAAGGTCACTTCACAGTTTGGCTCTTTGTCCAGAAGCAGCACCAGATTCTAGTTTGTGTGGGGGAAGTGTCTTGTCTTGCCTAAGGACACAACAACAGTTTAGCACGAGTGAGGAGAGTATTCAGCATGATATTATGATATAAACTGGAAGATGATCTTCAGGGACTGTTGTGGTGCAGAGGGCGCTGACTCAGTCACTTCCTCCTCTCTCCTGTGGCCATAAGAGGCTCCAGTCATGAATAATCACTGACAAGACCTTCAATCATTTTTTTTCAATAATCAGCAAGTATCCAGAATCCAATAATCACTAACGACTTGTTGAACAAACTCCAAAACATAAATGTGCTGCTCAGAGATGTGGTTTTAGGGACAGTGGTCCCTCACCTTTCGCGGCCTCGCTGTTTTGGGGATTTTTTTGTCAACAATTTTGCAGTTTTCTTTTTACAGCGTGTTGCTCATTGGCCGTGTGTATTCTCCAACAATATCATATGACGCTAACATGACAGTTATCTTTATTTAAAGTCAGAAGAAAACTATTGTGTGTATCACTGCGATTAGTTCAGAGGACGTCCCATATCTCTCAGCCCTGCTCCTGCCCCTCAGCGTGGGCTCCTCTGCAGCTGTATTTTACAGTGTATGCATGGCTTTTGACAGCTGCAGCAGCACTCAGACCTACAACAAACAGGTTTGATGTCTATGTATCAAAGGAGGATTTTCTACTAACGGGTGGATCATCGAGACTATTGGTCCTCCTAATTGTCAGTCATTCTGGTGACATGTTCTTGTCAAACAAGACCAGAGAGTTTTTGGAGAGGGCAGTTCTTTCCTAAAATTTGGGAAAATCCTCCAATACACCTTGAAAACATAAAAGTGTATGGGAGGTGTAAAACAAAACAGTTTGCTTATTGCAGGTTATTTTTTCATACAAATCCCCCCGTGATAAACAAGGAACCACTGTAATCCAAAAGCACGCTGCTGTGGCTGAACGACAGTGAGACAAAGATGTAGTTGTGATTGTCTTGCCAGTCTGCGTGTAGTGCATCCAGTTCAGAATGACCTCAGGCGCTCGGTACCACCGGGTCACCACATATCCAGTCATCTCAGCATCAGCACTGCGGGCCAGCCCAAAGTCCAGGATCTGAAACACAAATAGACAGAACCTGATCCTATATTGTTTCACCCTAATTCCATTTATACATTAATAAAAACATTCAAAGCGTTTCTCGTGGTTATTTGACTGTTTATAGCCGAGTCAAACCTTTCATTTGAGGGTCCTTTTGTTTTTGTTATTCTATGTGGACGTGGTGTACCGTACATTGGATAAGTGGCGTTTGAATTGGTAATGTTATTTGCAGGGCAGGAACAACATGGGAGAACAACAAACGATTACGAAACATACCAAGACAACAGAAAAAGAAGAGAACGCATGAACAGGGAACTACATCAGCAGGAACATACTTTTAGACAATTACGACAATATACGGAGAAAAGGAGATTACGGTATGTTGGATTCTAACGTGCAAAAGCAAGAAGAGGATAAAAGCAGCGTTACAGAAGTAGGGAATAAGAGAAAGTATGCAGATGCGGATATGGGGAACTTTAGTGTTGACTTTCACTAAGCTTTTATGATAAGTCGGTTCATTTGACTGGAATCCGAGGCTCACTTTTACATCCGCTAAACGCATATTCTCTTATCTTTTTCCTTTGATACTGAAGACTGCGGAGGTGATAACTACAGCTTAGTCCATCATTTTAATACTTAAAATGTACCAAATAAAAAATCCCTTGATTCGCAAAAAAGGCAATAAGAGTAATCACATTATCAGCTCACAGCAGGCCAACAAATGTACTGTTTGAAAATCTCCAAATTAAAATTCAATGATGCTATGATTCTATAATAAATTATGTGATGCAACACTGAAATTTCCCCACTGTGGGACAAATAAAGGATCTCCTATCTTAATCTAATGTCATGAAATGTCTGTTAGAGCTGGGTTGATCTCTAGAATGGATACACACATGAACCCTCAGAGAGTCAAGCTTTTCTTTTCTTCACATACAAACCTTGAGTTCACAGTCTTGATTAACAGCCAGGTTACCAGGCTTCAGATCCTACAAGAGAAGGCATTTTAGTTCATGGTAAAAACATAAATATATATTGGTCGTGATATCTGATAGGCCTTCACTTCCTCCCAGCCAGCTGATATGATGACAAATAATATCTTATTTGCCATACCAACTATTTTAATGAACCAACAGCGCTTTTATCCTTGCTTAGATTAGTAAAGCGTCTTTGAGTTTCTTTCAAGATTAAAGAATTTATTTGCCATTTGCAGTAAAACCACATTGGAAAAACCGTGCAAGGCTGCCCCAGTGTGCACCAGACAGCACAAACCAGAGCTTTTACCTTTGCAAAACGCTACACAAAACTGGTTATCATCATTACTATTATTGTAGTTATAGAAAATTAACAAAACACAAAATAATAATCAGTCTACAGTTGTCAGCCATCTTTAGCTTTGGGTCTGTTCTGTTCGATCCAAACATAACTGGATTGAACATAATTTACCATCAATTTCCATGAGGGGGATTAGTAATTAAGTCATCTTTAATTTTGCACAGAATAAAGCACTTTTGGGATTTTTCTTCTCAGAGATGGGAGCAGGATCACCATTCAAGAGACAGGAGACATGCAGGTTGGACCTATTCTACATGTTTTTATTGGTATAGAGAGAAACCGGAGCCCCCATATGGGAACCTATGCAGACACGGGGAGAACATGCAAACTCCACACATAAAGACCCCGTATGGAGGTAGAATCGGAACTAGCACCTTCTTGCTATAAAAAACACTAGCACTAACCCCTGCATCCATTATGTAATAACCTCTGTACATGAAATCCTGATTGCTCACTAGGCCTCTCACATTAGCATTAGCTCCAACCCCCAGTTTCTGTTGACAGCCTTTGAAAAAAAAGAAAAGGAAAAAAAATGGCAGATAACAGTAGCAAATATTACCAGTCAATCTCAATGTGTTGCATGTGCATTATAACACAGGGATCACTACAAAAAATTGGTTAATCGGATCTAAGTGGATTTGCTTCAGAATCCGAGCCATTGATAAAAGTGTGGCGTGATATCTCCTGGTGAGGGATGATCTGCTCCCAAATGACGAGTGGGTGCAGGACAGTAACACTTAAGCAGACGTCTGACTCATGTAGTGACAGATACATCTTCTCTCTCTTCTCACAAGAATAATAACAAGAGGCGACTGGTAAAAGGCTAATGGAACTCCAGACAAGAGCCATTGCAAATACTTCACCTGCAGCGCTCATGATGAAAAGAGACAGTATAGATTTCATACAGCCTCAATCTCACAGGGACTCACAGAAATGGCCTTTTTTAATACTGTTTTTGTGTTTCGTCACAAAAGCCTTCATCAGAGCAGTTGCAGGTCTTTGTGTTAGGCTGATTTTTTATTTATTTTTTCTAACTTTATTAATCCAGAAAAGTCCCACTGAGATTTCAGAATCTATTTTTCAGGAGAGTTCTGGTTTATGCGGGACTATGAGGGGACTATGAAGGGACAGTCTATGAATTGTAGATGTTCTTTTAGCCGTAGGGGAAACCGGAGCACCTGGAGGAAACCAGAGCAGACATGGGGAGAACATACAAACTCCACTCAGACATGAAGCTTCGTCTCGGCAAATTAAAAGTATATGAATAGAAACTTTTTGACCTTTCGTTTCTTTTTAATGATGTGTTTCCCACTCCACATTTTTATCAATGGATTTAAATGTTTTGGGTTTAGCCCTCACAAAACGGAGGCACAACTTTCACAACTAAAAGCACCATTCTTTTTATCTATCACCTCCTTTCCTTCTTTTCTTCTTTTATTCCTTTTTTTAGGAAGTAATTTGGCTATTTATTTTTATAAAATGCTTTTCAAAAATATATATATTACAGTTTAAATGTTCCATGGATGAGGTACGTAATCTTTCATAGACAAAGTTAAAACAAAATATTGTGGCCATCTGTAACCACAAAACTCTTTAGCCCAGAGTAAACTAGCATGCTTTTGATATACCTAAATACTCAATTTCTTTTTTTTTGCAGAGAAAAAAAACACATATACAAGCCTACATCAACGGTATACAGTAAACACACAGATATCTATCACCACCTCTCTTGACACTCCAGGACACTTTCATAAAAATACAATCTCTGAATTACAAAGTCACATCCGGTGGCATGAAACATTTAGGAACCATCGCTGTGGCCCAACACTGGCTACACTTTGGATATTTGAATTCGTTCGTGTGTTGAGCAAATAAAAGGAGCGAGGGGAAGATCAAGGCACACGTGTTGCGTATCAGAAAAGGGTTTTCCGGTTGCGTCATTGGCTCATTTGCGTAGCGAGGAGCGGCCTTGTGTCTCTCAACACGCTTTCCCACAGCTCAGCGAAAGTAACCCATCCTACCTGTTGGGGCAGGGCTGCGTTGGCCCAGATATCAGGAGACATGGGTGCAGACTTTCTCATTCCTCTTGTGAAGGCTTGCACTAATTTAGCCTAAAAACTGGATAGAAAAATTTGTACTCACTCTGTGGATGATCCCGGCCTTGTGAATGTACTGAAAAACACAGACACAAAGACACACGTAACATAATGTGCGGGGAGAATGTGTTTTTTGGTTCATATAAAATACAGCCATCACAAAGAATCATAGCTTTGAGACTAAATAGATGAAGATAACGAGATAATGTATTTGTTTATTTGGGGAAATGTCTGTGTTGCATCACGAGTTAAAGATCCAGTGGTGATGATTCAGGACATTGAAGGACATTTATGGACATTGGTCATTCTGCTCCCTTCTGGCTCCTATTTTCCTTGGTTCTAACAGTTTAATTCTCTGATCTGTGTTTGACAAATGGCAATTTTGCAAAGTCTTCCCAGACAACTGCTGCTGTGATTTGGCTCTATACAAAAATACATTGAATTGAATTAAGTTGAGCTACAGAACAGCAGTAATGAGAAGCGCACAACACGAGATGAAAAATACCATCTTCATCTTTAGTTGAATAAAGAAACAAAGTATAAACCACTATTTACTCTAGTGCAAGAAATATATACATGTGTGTTTACATCAATACATGCCCTGATGGAGGCCTGTCTGCTGAAATGTGTTTCAAGAATTGTAATAAATAAGGGGCCGATGAAGAAAGAGCTCTTTAGGGTTGTTCATTAAAAAAGGACAAATTTGTGAGACTTCTGGCAGGTGGCCCTTTATCAGATGAGCATACCCACGATTGCCTGAAGCTGTGCAGACTTATTAATTATGGCCTGTCCCAATAGACAGAGCCCCAACACATTCAGCCAACTGGCCTTCATCAGGGAATGTATCTTTTTAATACTTTTTAATATTCCAGAGTCCAGCACGCTAGGTTTACAGTGAAGGAGAGAACCTTGGTTTTGTATTTTTACACATGACAATCCTCTCACCAAAGAGCTCCTTATCTACAGATTTCCATTTAGGTGGAGGAAGCTTGTGCACCTCAAATGTAAATATATGATTACTCGACTGGTCCATCTTGAAGCTGAGAATATTAATCATTATTCCAAAACCTTTTAATACTTAAACACCAACAAACAAATGTGAGATTGGATTTTCAATGGAAATTCATGATTACATTTCAAACCCAAAGGACCTTTGACAAAACTATAAAGAATTAATAGTATGATACCAATTAGACATGTTCCCCAAAACCCAATAAGTCATGATTAAGTTATATTTAAGAAATATGAAGTTTACCCTGAGCCCGCAGAGCATCTGGTAGACCAGAAACTGGACCTTATCTTCTGAAAGATGGCCTCGGACTTTGGACAGGTCTGTGAACATGTACGGCATCACCAAGTAGCTGCAAACAACACACCACACATTCAACAACTGAAGAAATGTACCATTTAGAGTTTATCTTTTGAAAGAGGCCCGCAGAAAGCTTAGTGTGCCAACAATATACCCATGAGCCTCTGCTTCAGAGCGTTCTTCCCTCTTTGCTTCTCCCTGGGGAAGTTGTTCAGTAGCTGCAGTGAAATCAGATCTAAATACTGTTCTCTACTGAGCTCACATCATCTCATAATAATCTCTTTCTTCCTAGTCGTATACTTCCAGTTGGCTCAATTCAGTTATTTTGTTTATTGTTAATAAAGCACAGACAGAAAATGACAACATCTGATTGAAGGTTTAAAAGAATAGCTACCACTAAAGCCGTATATTGCGAACAAAGCACTGCTCTCCTTTAATGGCGAATGAAAACTCTTGATTCGCTGAGATCTTATCAGCTGTTCCTCCCGCAGCAGCGTACACGCTCCAGCCTGCCGCTCTCAGGAAAATAATTAACTTAAACATTTTGAGAGCTGTTTCAGCAGTGACAATGTCTGACAAGTCTGAAAAAAGACACGAGACATTAGACACTAAAGGGCCTCTATAGCTTCCACACGTGCAGCTACTAAAGCAGAGTTATACCTTATTGTTCTTGTGCTAAAAGTTTTAAACTGTGCATAATGGTGTGTGTATGCAGTACTTTTACACAGGCCTTGAATCTTTAACCAATCCTAAGAACCAATAAACCAGAATAGCAGTAAACATGTTGCTTAACAATGTAACTATGATTTGAACCTAAAAAGGACCAATCTCATCCATGCAATGAAAATGTATGTGTGTAATTGGTGCTTCTACACCTATGAAAATATTTAACAACAAAATGCAGTTATGACATTGGTCAAATATGGAAGGGTATAATATGGAATGATTTCTATTATTACAGGGACAGTATCCAAAAAAACATTAACCAAAAGGAGAGATGTTTTGTTGTGGGTTATAGCAGTGCTAATTACACCTGTAGTGCTCATTACACCTGTAGTGTTCATTACACCTGTAGTGTTCATTACACCTGTAGTGCTCATTACACCTGTAGTGCTCATTACACCTGTAGTCCTAATTTACACCTGAGCAGTTTGGTGTCGAGTAGATGAATACATGCCCATACATAACATACTGTACATTCTCAAACAAAAGTTACCATATTAATTTAACAAACAAGCTGATAATAATAATACTACAACTATCCAGTCCCCGTTCTTCACTTTCACTCCTGAGCACACAATTGATTATTGAATATTGATATTTTAAAATGATAAAGTGATTAAAGCAGCAGTTGGACCAGTTTTACGTTTGATGAATGTTTTCTCATCTCACATTACACTGTCGACACTAATAAACCCACAAAGATAATACTACACACTGCAAACACAGCAACGTCATCGGTTTTTCATTAAGAGCAGCATTCCAGAAATCTAAATACTGTATGACTCTAAGAGAACACATGCATGTTTCTTTCAGCACTGGCTTTTTTTTAGTGTATTAACGAAGGAGTAAGATGGATACTCACAAGTCCTGGAAGTCGTCGAGGGTCGTGGCTGGAGTGAAGACATCCAGAAGCCCGATCACCTGCGAGAGCGGAGACACGTGTGGACAGTGAAGACATGTGCGGGTCTTTAAAAGGGAAGTTAAATTTAAGGTGTACATATATTTGTGATTATATCTACACATATGGAAACTGTTAGGATGTTGCTAACGTATGTGTATGTGTACGTCCATGTATGTGAACGTATATACTATATGTGCTGTACGAGAAAAAAGTAAAGTAGATGTAATGGCATAAATGAAGAAATGTAAATATTGTAAAGTACGGTGTTATTTGTGTTTGAATCAAAGAATACATTCAATTAACTTCTGTGTCTCTATGTGCAGAAGGTAAAAAAATACATGGATTTAATGGTATATCCGTGAACAAAGTAATGGAACCACTGAAAAGTACTTGTGAATGTATTTCTGTTCAACTGAAAGAATGAATAAACTTGTACTCTGTGTCTTTGTATTTGATTTTTGTGAAACTGTGATGTGCAGGTTCCAGATTAAGAGATTCTTTGTTCTTCCCACAGTGGGGATAATTCAGTATTGCGTCACAAGTTACAGAACAGAAGGAATGAGGAGCAGGCAACACAAGATAGTGAATAGTGAATATAGCACAACTCTATACTTTAGAAATAAAA